CCTTCCCCCCCTCCCCCCCTTTCTAGAAAGTCTTCTCTATGATGCTGCCAAAATAAGACTGTAACTTATCTTTTCACATATGGGTGCCCAGAATCTTTTCATTTCTCCAGCATAACTTGATCAGAAACTTTCCAGTACACCTTCTGTAAGTGCATGCAGTACAGAGTGGAATTAATATGTCTGGCCTTCAGATACTCAATGTAAGAAATTGTTATAAAATTCCTCATTTCTTGAAGACTATCATGAAGCACAGGGTAGCATGTGTATACATTAAAATTTCCAGAATTACAGGAAATAAAACAAGCACCACTACCTCATTTGGTTTCTTTTAAAGTACAATTAAAGTGCCAGTAAAAGCAAATCTACGTTTTGAAGATATGCCTGGAACAGATCTGTATGCAGTGTTCCATATAGCAAATTTCAGTTAATTCTCAATGTACATATGTAATGAAATATGAATATGCCAATTTTGAAACTTTTTTTCTTTTTTCTTCCCTTCTCCCTCTTCCCTCACAGGTTACTGAAAATGATATTGTAATGGCGGAGAGGCTCTTTGGCATTCTGGCATATGTAACATCTTCTGAGCTGCCGCATTATCGCATGCTTTCATTATTTGGAGAATCTAGGTAAAATACAATGAGCGGAACTGGAATTTTTGCAGAACGTGTTGTTTAATTCTTTTGCACACTGTCATGATAAATTCTTTCTAGGTAAAAAGATAAAAATTTTTGAAATAACATCTTACAGAAATAGGTTCTTTGCTTATTGCAGAAATATTACCATCTTCTGATTTATGTGGCCAGAGGTTTTCAAAGAAGTTGTATGAAGTCTGCTGAGGAAGATTAAAAGGCACATGCTCACAAACGTAGTGCTTATTTAATTCTCCAATTGTACTGGTATTGGTGAAGATTTATGGACTTTCATGATGAAGACTGACTATTTTTAGTGGGTATTTTGTAGCAGGTGACTATAACAGTTAACAGATTTAAGAGTTGGTGCTGTAAGAAAAAAGGTGCTTAACAAAATCTTTAGTCTTCTATAGATACGTACTTAATAAAACTTTAATAAGACTTCCTATTTAGGAGATGTTATGTGATATATGTCACAAAGTCAATTGTGTAGAAGCAAGTTAACGGAGGAATATCTACAGTCATATGTATTTTAAATAACTTGAGGATACAATAAACTTGAAAGCTTATAAAGTACATGTTCAAAGGGAGAAAAGAAAAAATAATCTCACAATCACTAGAAACATCTGCACTAAAAAAAGTTTCCAGTAATTAGAACTGTAAATATCTTTATCTTTTCACAGGAGGAAGCAATTCCATTATCTGCTGGAGGGAAAGGGAAAGAAATCTGGGACTGGGAGTGAGGAAAGTGATAACAGTAGAAAAGGAGGGGAAAGCACAAATCGAGCAACATTGAATTACACGACGAAGGATATTCATATGGAAAAGCTGGAGGTAAGTGTATCATGACACAATACTTTCATCCTCTATTATACAACCTTAGACTACTACTCATAGAATTTGTCTATATATCAAGTTTCAGTTGTGCTATGGTGAGAATGGTGGTTTTGAAATATCACTGTTTAATGTATTTACATGTACAATCTGACATTTCATCTAACTGATCTTTGCCAGAATACTGGATAATGATCAGTTTCTGTCTTCAGTGAAGTGGTTCCTGAACAGTGCCATAGTCTCAGAAATACATTCTCACCTGCAAGCCTTATGTTCATAACCAAATGTGCCTTCATTAGTAAAATATAAGGAGTGAGCACAATTTTTTACAAAGAAAAATGTATATTGCATGTTAGGATTTTTCTAATGGGATTAGAAAGTCAGAAAGTATATCCCAGAATGAATTGGTGAAGAACACCCTTCAGACAAGATTTGAGATAGTGCAGGCTGTACTAATAAAGAGCTGTTTCCTAGCTTTTAAATGAGCTACAGGAAAATAAATATGTAGGGAGTGTATTATGTTTATTGATAAAATTGCAAGCTGGCTGGTTTGAGACAAGTGTCTCATTCACGCTTGTTTTAGTTTGTGTTTCTGATCTGCTAACTCTTTTGCTTGGGCAGAGGGAAATTGTTCCCAGGGAGAACATGCTTCTTTCAGCCACGATCGCCCTTCTGAACAATCATCATGAGTTCTAGCTGTATGCACCCTGCTTCCCACATTTGTCCCGTTATTAGCTTTCTTATTATGTGCAAATATATAAATAGTGCAAGAAATTAAATCCAGTTCAGTAAACGCTGAATTCAGTTATTGCATTGTGGTTTTGTTATCTCAGGTCTCAGATAGCATAAAAAAGAGACAGTGACTGTATGTGTGGAGAGATTAAATTAAGAAAACGTTTTCGTTTCAAAAGCTCTGATAGTAGCTCTTAAAACTTTGAATGGTGGAGTAAGACAGGGAGGCATTCCTCTTGTCCTTTAGCATGGAACAAGCACTATAATAAAAAAAGCTTGGTATTTGCACAGTCCCTTAAATATATGCATTGTTTTCTCTTCCTAGTGCAGCAATTCACATCTTGTCCTTTGTTACAGCATTATGTATGTGGCAGCAGATATTACAGGATGTCACAGGAGGAGACTAAGATAGGCAAAAAAGACTGATTCCGGTTCCCCATCAGCAGTAAACTAACATAATAAATGTGAATAAGTTTATTGCTAGAGATGACAGTCAGAGTCATTGATTAATAATTTGGGTTTTTTTAGATGAAACAGCTGGAAATTATTTTCTCTGCTTTATCACTCATTTAAGAGAACTTCTGTTTTAATGGCCTGAAGCATGACCTAATATTTTTAACAGTGCCATAAATCAAACCAGTTAGATATTTAGCACCAAGGTAACTTATTGTTCAAAGCTTATTATGGCATTTTATAGAAATTCTGCAGAAACAGGGATTAAGACAGCTTGAGTGACTAAAATGCAGAGCTAGTAGTTGCATGAAGTGCAATTTTTTTAATTATTATTTTTTAAAGGTTCAGGTTACTTCAGTATCTACCGTAGTAGATGTTAGGAAACTTGCACTTACCAGAGTCCATCAAGGAACCTGTGGAAAGGATGCATACTGGCATATTTTTCTGCGACAGTATGCTTAGTTCTTGTTAGGGCAAGTAGTTAAACATATACTTTCCAACTGTTGCACTACAATCAGGAAAAGCTAGGAAGGGAAGGGAGAGAAGGAAGGAAAGTAGTCTGGTGCTTAATAATTTCTGTAAATTTTCACTGTTGTGCCAGAAGGCAACAAAAATCGTAATGCCTTTAAAAGATATTTACATGACTACTTAAAAATTGATTTCAGATTAATTAATGAATATAAGATCAATATCCTGAATACAGTAAGATTCTGTGGCCACACTCATAAAAGCTTGACTTAAACCCTGGGCCATGCAACTTAAAACCGACAGGAAAAAGCATGCAATGGCCTCTTTGCCTGCTAATCACTATATTCTTTAATTCATTACACTTTTGTCGTTGTGTTTTGGGTTTACTATTGTTCAACCTTTTCTTCCTTTGTCTTATACAATGTGTAATGGTTCTCCCATGCAGGAAATCAAGGAAAGAAAAACATTTTGCCAGACATACGTCGAGAACTTAGTGAAAGAAGCAGCTGACATCAATATGAAAAATGAGTCGTTGCAGAAGCTCTGGCCTCAAATGTTCATTGAACTTGTCAGAGATGCAGTGATAGAAATACGCAATAAAAATTCCTACATGAAACTCTGCTTACAGCGGATCACTGATCAAAAACAGTAGAGTCAAGGCTTGTTGTCTTGCAAGCTTTTGGGTTCAGTATTCTATGATGTTCTACAAACTTAAAATAACAGAATATAAAATGACCATCGCTATGGCATGCTTCACACACGCATCCCTCCCCCAAAAGGATGCCTTTAAATCTTAATTAACTCTTGATAGTTTGGAGTAAAAGTTTACTTGCATACTGCTTTAACAATGCTTCCTTGGCTCAGGTGATGAGACAGCATAGAAATAACTTGGTGACTGTCATGTTTTACTAAGTTCTTGTTTATTTTTTTTCTGCTACCCTTGCTTCTCTAGTACTGCAGCATTGATTTGTAAAGAACAAATTTACACTCTGCTTGCCTTATTTTTTTTATTGAACAGTTTTCAGATGTCACCTTTTTGACTGTTTGCTGCTGTTTAAAAAAAACTCAATAGTAGCTGATTTTTTTATGAGCGAAAGGTAATAAATTATTTTTACACCCTGAACTTGATGAAGACTTCTTATTGTTGTTTAATTTGTGAGATTACAGAACACTTTTTCACATCAGTGCCATCACAGTGCTCAGTATATCAACATTTAATGAGCCTAATTCTCAACTGAACAAATTGCCCAAACTTGATTTCAAATCTTTTTTCATTAATATCATTTGTATTCGTTTGTGTCAATTATTATAGATAAAATATGAATTTGAGGTATAGTCACTTAAGCTTTATTTTTATTCTGTTAAAATATGTTAATAATATAATTTTGTTTGTTTCTTGATTATGAAATGATTCATTTTTAAGGTTTGCCAAGGTCAAATGAGCTAAAATGCATGTGTTACATTTGGTAAGGAAACTGATGACTACTATTCAGTTGTAATTGATTTCCGTGACTGTGTGAAAATTTCATCTTGTTATCAATAAAAATAAATTCTCCACTTTTGCCCTTCACAGATACTGTAAAGAAGTACTGCATGCAAAGAAAAGACTCCTTAGTGCTGCATAAAGAGATGAGACACAACTTGCCCCCCAAATCAACTGTGAATGGGTAGAAAAAACACATTCCATAGTACAACTTCCCCTGTAAACACCTTGCCAGCTTCTGCCCAGAAATTGAATTTAGGAACAGTTAGCAAGTCCAGCTGATTCCCATGGCTGGCGTTCATATGCAGGTGGAAAGTTGTGCCATTTAAACTTAATTTTATAGTTCCATTGTATCTTAACTAAAACAATCTAGAACCTTTGTGGATTCTTTTACTTGATTCAAATTGATCTTATTTTACTTTAGCTCATTTATAAAAAAGAAATGTTCGTAACTACAGAAGACTTCCTGCAAGGGTTTCTATGGCTTAGCCCTAAGTTTATTTTTAAACTTTACCTGGACAAGACTGTCTGGCAAAGCAGAGATGCAAATACAGTTTTGTAAGTTTCTATGCCCTGAAAGAAAATAGCCTTGAATGAGTAGCAGGAGTCAGGTGGTCATAGCTATATTGGAATATACAGTCTGCTTCCATTCAGGTCAAGCTGGTGCATCTAAGCTGTCAGAGAATCCATTTTCATAGCATGTTACAGGTTAACAATGGCATGCATACTGTTAAATGTAATTTTCAATTCGTTTTATGTTGTGTGGGATCTTCTAAAGCATACTTGCAGGTAATTGTTTTTCAGTATTTACAGAATTTAATGGAGGTTAAGTCACTTAAATTCTACGGAAATGTTAAAAGTCCTGAAGAAACTGCTCCAGCAATTGGTAGAATTTAATAGAAACAATCACCCCTCCAGACTTTTTGAACTGCTTCATGGAATTTATAGTAAGATTAGGGTATTTGATAGGATTTCTTTTTCTTTCCTTTGGAAAATTACACTCTCAAGTTTTATGGTGCATTTTATTAAGGGAACAAATTAAAACTCCACAAAATATGACAAAAAGAGAGTTTACATTATAGAAATAATCAGTACAGAAATGATCATGCAAAAGTTTTTTGGATCCATCAGTTCCTTTACATCATTCCTGTGCAAAGGGGGTGAGTGGAGCAATTCCAGCTCCTACATGGGGGCAGAAACCTCAGCAGCTGTGTGAAAGTGCAGAACTCTCCTGATGATGTAGCTGGAGCAGATGGGCCCCTTTTGAATCAGATTCAGCAGCAATAAAAGACTGGAAAAAAAATGTTTTAAGAAGGGTGGATTGGTCTAGAGGAGCAGGAAGTTCTCCATGGGAAAATCCAGAGAAAAACCAGACTTTCTGATACTAAGGCTTTAGAAGCATAATCCTGATTGGAGGCTTTAAGGTAGGGTCTTGAAAAAAAACTAAGTGAAATGAATCGGAGGGTATTGTCTATGGGTTGTAGAAACATCTCCTTAAAATGCTCTGTATTCCCGGTGGTCTATAAATGCTGCCAGTTTGGATTCTTTTCACTAATAGCAGCTGTTTCATAACAGGATTGCTAAATGGCTGAACGGAGGGTAGCTAGGCAGCTATTATAAATGAAGAAAAGATTAATGTTGGGCTGCATACATTTGTTTTCACGTTGAACCAGTAGGAACAAAAAACCTTACATTTTTACTAAGTCTTTTTAGGAAACAAGTGAATGATGGACTAAAGTGGTATTAGACCTAAGAGTATGTAGAGTTTTAAGCAGCAAGTTGATCTTAAAATTGTTAGCGTGTTAGATGTTCTTTATTGTTTTTTATCAAAATTATTTGTCAATTCACACAGACTTGGAGGATACATTACTGTAGTTGCTTATTAGGGAGTTTCTGAGTACCTAAAAATTTGAAGGTGGTATAAGCAGCAAATTCTTAGGTGTTCTGAAACTTAAGTACTACATATTGAAACTTTCTGTGGTCACAGGTCCAAACTGAGGAGTTAAAATTGCCATTGATTTTGAAGCTGGGGACCTTTTAATAAAACCTTCCAGTCTGAAAGCAGTTTTTTCTGCTTTAAAAGCCTTTAAATGCTGCATAAAACCAAATTTTGATATTGTTACTGTTTCATTGATATCCTGTCCAAAATGGACTGTTGTGATCCCTTCATGTAGCCTGACTCTGCACAGGGCAGGAGCTATTATTGTAAAAATTCCATATGTTAACTAGAAATCGTCTTAAGGGTTAAAAAGATATTGTTTTGCCTTCTAAGTCTTTTTAAAACTTTTTTTCTAAATAATTTTTGGATTTTTGTAGTTTCCTTATTTTCTGAGACAAATCTCCCCTGTGCCCAGACAAGGGCAGATAATGATGTATTTTTTTTTCAGTTTCAGTTTAGACGTATCATGCATGAAGGCGCCATTATGTCATGCAGAGTCACTGTTTATTATGAAACTGAAATTTGATCTTCAGTAAGGAGACTGATGAAGAGCTGTATTTCATACACTCCTTTTGATATAGGATCTGAAAAAGTAATAGAGCTGCAGATATGTCGCCACAGTGGAACGAAGGGAAAAGTGATTCACTTGGTGCAAACCAAAAGCTGATCCTGTCAGTTTTGAGGAAAAAAAGGTACTGGGAAGAGGTTTTAACTGGGCCTTGTAAAGTAAGTAAAACTGCCTTAGTGCCTTGGGACCAAGTGTTAGATCTGAATCTGGAAATAGCTGACAACTTTGTTTTCTGCTCTGTGTAGATCAGTGATATAAAAGTGAAATATCTTGTTCCACTGCTACAAATGGTCATACTTGTATTATGTAAACTATTTATAATAATAATAATGAAGATGTTAACTTATTAAAACACTGGCCATCTGCAGGTTAAGTTAGGCTATTGTGCAAACAGTAGTGAGTCCACAACCTGTGTATATATTCTGCCAATTCAGGACAAGTGACTAATTTTTTTTTTTTTAATCAGAGCTCTAGGCTGTAAAAGTGGCAAACACGGATGGTTTTAGTTGCTACTTTTTATCGTGGTGACACATCAGGATGAACTGTGTTTTGTTAGCTAGTTTATTTAAAGAAGCTGAGGCAAATACTTGCTATTTCATATTATTAACCAACATTCACAAAGATGCGATTTAGATTGGGAGCTCAGTGTGTGTTTTCAAAGTCACGATAAGAGCTATTTGCTTTGATTGGGAAAACAGACTTCTTGAATATATTTCTGTTCCTACATCACACTAACTGCTACATCTTGAAGTCCAGTTTCAGTGAAATTGGTTTTCTCTTTAATTTAAGTTGGAGGCATCAGGCTTTTGGGGATTTGTAAGATACGGTGTTTTGTTGCACATGTAGAACAAGGACAGGGAAACGAGGAGACTAGCTAGCACTTTGCTCTATGGTGTGATAAAGCTGCTGTTACTCAAAAGTGAATATAAACTGATTTTTGCAGACTGAAAAGTAGAGAGTGTAGGCTACACAGATGTTAAACTATCTTACAAAAGGCTAATTGGTATCTGCTTACACACCACCTCAGCTGGATTTTCTTGAGCATGAGCTAAAAGTAATTGAATCTAAGGGACTGTTTACACAACCCAAGTATCTAATTTTGTTGGCTAACTTTGCTAGGCTTCTACTCTCAGGGGAAGAAAGATGGGTTCATCTGGAGGAACTATTGTCTCTGTTTACTGTGGTGAAAACAGCATTTCTTTACAAGCTGTGTACTGGACCTCATATGCCATACTTGTGGACAGATGCTTCTGCTTATTGTATCAAATGTCAGGAAGCCCTGGTGAAGAATTGAGAAGTCTTAATGGGGGAAAAACTGAGTCTTCTCAACTTCTGAGTTGTTTGGGTTTGGTGGGGTTTTTTCACTTATAGATAGACGTACTGCATGCAGAAACGTACTTGACTGATCAAAGTACACCAAGTGTGGAAAAAAGTAGAGAACTGCAGGTCAGAGTATTTATACCAAATCCAGCATTAGAAGCATCCGGTATCCCCAAGAAATGTGTTTGTACAAGACAACCCTATATTTCTTACTACTGACTACGTTGACTTGGGGAAGTCCTTGTGTGTAACTGTTTTATCCAACTTTTTGGAAAATACAAACTGATGGCTTCATGATTGCTCTGCTCTACAGTATAAAATAATGTAATCAAGACAGCACGATAAGATTTCTTGGTGCTGTAATCCGTTGGTTAACAGGATGACAAATTTAATCCTACCTTTTGTTGCAATCTTCCTAATTAGTCAGCTACTTCGATATTAAGGAAATCTTGTGTGCAATCTTCATTCTTACTATATAGTGTATGGTATCTAGTATCTTGCTACATCCATAACCAGGATGCTTTCTAGTTTCAGATGAACTATTCCTTTCATTTTTGTTTGACTAATATGGATATCTAGAGGTTAAATGCTGCTATTAGCAATACTTCATTTTAGACCTGGAACTTTACATGAACAGTGAGCAGAT